CCTAATACGTCATTGGGTAGATGCATGATAAAGATCAGACTCACAATGACAGCTGATCGGGCAACTCCTTTCCCTCAACTATCCACCCTCGCCCCAGAAGAGATCAGTTCAGCAAGTAAACACTAGAAAAACAGTTTATCGATAAGAATTCGATCGAAAAAGTGGAAAGCAGACCACTTCAACTGTGAAAAATACATAGCGTTTTCTTTGAGCAGAATCGGTTCAGATTGGAACAAATGGGTCCAGGAAGAATCCGACGACTACGTAGGAGTTGACATATACGGGGGAAATGCTCGTGTCCTTAAATCCGCATGTTCAATCATTCATACCTGGCGAGGTGTCTCGTGTTACCTTCGCACATTTCAATTCTTCCACGGGGTGGTGATGATGATGGGTGCATAAATCTTATATTTACTGAACTTTATTTGAAAGTGCACCTCACCACGACTGTCGTTCACTGAAGATGTAATCTTGACTGATGAAGCTGTTTTCTTCCCTCATGGAGAGATTAACAAAAAAACAAGCTTACTTGGCGCAAATGGGACTTTTATGATGAAAACACCATAGCTGCTATTCCCACTACCTTGACCCTTTTGCGATACATACCAAGGCGTTGCTATGTTCATATTTCCTTGGTAACTGCAAGTACAACGACTTTTTATAGTTGTTTTCTACGTTGGTAACCCAGCGGATTCTATGAGGATAGTGTAGCTACCCATTATTTGATGTTTGTGAGAACTTTGCATGACAATATTTCCACAAAAATGAATTGATAGAGAAGGACCTGCGACATAGCCGTCCAGAACTCCAGATTTGACGCCATTAATTTTTTTCTTGTGGAATCGACTGGAGTCTCTGGCTCGCACTCCCAGCCACATCCCTTAAACAAACTGGAAGAAAATACCATAATTGCATCGCAAAACATCCCCATGGAAAAAGACAGGAAAGTATGTGTGAATCTGCTAAAACCAATTGATATATGTAAGAGAGGAGGTCAGTGATTTGAACACTTACTACAGCCACTAGCGAGTGTCACCGATTCAGGGATCAAGTTAAAATGTTTTCTAAGAAATAAGCAGATCTCATTCACGTGATTCGTGGTTTATGCACTCATCGTCTTTTTGCCCGTCTTGTTCGTGATTAAAGGAAGGTTGATTGTGAACGACAGTGGCCGGTATGTCTTCCGTCAAACGAACAGAAATACCTGGTGATTAGCATCGCACACAGCACGACAATCAACTTCCATCAAAATGCTTTTATCGATCACGTTTGCTAGTGTGTTCAGTCATTAGTCGGTCTACCCGCGATCGAAATTGATGCTAGTCAAAAGCTCTGATGTATGAACTCCCTGCAGAAATCCACCTGCCTTGTTCGGGGCAACCTAGCATTATGTCGTCAAATCATGGAATTTTTGTAATGATTATTGCACCGTGTTTTGTTTGGCACACTGTTTGGACTCAGGCATGTTCTTATGATTCACCCTAATCGCTTGATCTCGTTTTCGCGTTTCTTTCATCTAGAATGGAACCTGTCGCTCCCTTACCAAGCTTCTACACAACACACTTGGTCGCTTGCCGTCGGGGCACAGAGAAAGTTCGGGCTGCCATGGATTTCCAACAAACTGCTTCCACAAACCCCGACCTTCCACCGCTTCATCTGGTCTCACCCCCATGGCTCTGGGCCTGTCATTATCACTGGCAACATATGCCAGAAAACGATTTTCCCCTGGTTCATGATTTCCATCCTAGTGAATTTGATTCAGAAGTCGAACCTGTCCCGGGTACGCATCGCTACGCTCGTCGGCTCCGTCGACATCATTATCACCATCATCATCATAATCATCGGGAGTATCAACATCGTGATCCACAACACTCACACCGTCATCACGAACGCTCACATCACGGCCCACCAAATGCGCATTCGTCTCAATCTCAACCCGACTCTTACGATCCCAAGGATTCCACCAGTCCTTTCGCGATATCCTCAACCACAACAGAATCCACAGATCCACAATATCGACATCGTCGACATTATCATACTCATCGACATCATCGAAAACATCACCGTCGCAGCCCAAAGCACCGATCACATGACGCGAACAGCGGTGGCAACGGTGACTCAACCGAAGAAATCAAGTAAGTGCTGACTGAATCGCATAAGCCCCATTACCATGTGTTGCTTGGTTTCATTTTCGGACGTCAAAGCATATCAGACAAGCAACACGAAAGGTTCGCATGAAACCCGGTTGAATTGATACTAATTTGATTAGAATTGGCTGCAATTTCCTGGAATCAATGCAGCTGATCACTTGGTCATTAATATCGTATCGTAGGTTCACATTCAAACTCTCCTTAAAAATTTTCGCACGCATGTAGGTCAACAGATCCACAGCTCACTACTCTGCATAAATGAAAGGTGTTACGGATATCGCTGGTTTGAGTTTTGGAAGTGCCGTACCACTGTGGTATCCGGTAGTCAAAACATTCGCCGTTTGAGGAAAGAATTCCTTTTGGAAGCCACGAATGTGTCATTTTGCGTTCTAAATATCTGAGTCAGAGAACCATACTTGTCGGATCGATGTTCCTTCTATCTTATCGTTATTCCAAACGCGATCCGTCAAACTTCGAACTGCTAGCAACGATGAAAATCTCTTACCTCTCAGTAACAAACATAGTTATTGCCTCTTTTAGTACCGGCACTCCCACCATCTTCATTTGCCTCATCCGACGCACGTCTCTTCGTCGTTTCAACATCAAATGAGAAGGTGGCAACTTTAAATGAATTCCACCAATCACATCATAATTAGAACCCCATTTACATGATTGATGCTTCAGTCGTCACGCGTCACCGATTGGACCGGGCTATAAGAACCACTTGCTGTCGGAATGAACTGATTTTTCCATAACCAAAAAATGTGCTTTTTGAGTGAGTTACCGAGCGATGATAAAAGTATCCGTAGTGCGCGGGTTGGCTGCTCATCCTCCGCCCCACCCGGGAACGTTATGTCCTTGGTCTCTGATCGAGTGCGCATGAACGAACCCGGTGGTAACTGCCCTGGGCCGCCCGAGTAAGGAATCGAATCATCTCGAGACGGATCGGTAAATCGGACACCATGCTCAGGCGTGAATGTGGGAATAAATCATTGCATGATTGGGTTCAGTCTAGGCCCTCAGTATCCTAGTGGGTAAATTCTATTGAAGCCGAGGTTCCCTCGAATAACGCCGTTTCTTTTGAACCGCATGCAAATTCCTACATACTTCTGGTACACTTGACAAAACATTTAGCCATGGTACTTGGATACAGTGAACCAATTAACATTATTTACCTGAATGGCAAGGTTAAATTTGAACACATTCACTAACAGAAATTGAATCTTTTCTCTGTAATTCCCCGATTGGTAATTGCATTTTATCCGCAACAGCAATGGCAACAACCTGTCACCTACAGTTTCTCCCCTTGTTACTCAGCTTCGTCGCATAAGTTCTTATCCTTGTTGCATCATTTATCATCCTCGTCGCATCTTTTCTCAGCCTTTCTTCTTCTAAGCAAAGCTTTAAAATTAATACATAACGTTCCGGTACCAGTAAAACCATTGCTTTGGTATCTGTTGCCACTCTATGCAATTTGTACTAATAAAATAGGGTTTTTCATTCAATTTTTTACCGAAAACTGATGACAACAATGCTGAACTTCATGAACGTGTTGGTACACAAGGAGATAAGATAAACTATGCTGTACTGCATTACCCAACTTGAAAACTAATAAACAACCATGGGAAAGAACCCACTGGCTGATTGAGATGGGATGTAAATTAGTTTAAACTGAAGCTTCAAATACTGCTATTTCTTTGGAACCTGGTGTTATACGACATTGGCGGATGGCTTGATTGGTTAGCTAATAATTATCGTCGTATTTATGAAGTGTAAACTGATTGGGTTTCATCAGAAGTGTGAATCCTAGTGCTGATATGCGCGATCCGTGCTGCTTGCAAATATTGATTGTACTATAGTGTGCATATGTAAGATGGAAAACGGTTTTATCAGCTGACGGGTGATCAAAGAGATGTGTGTTTGCTTTCTATCTGATTGGTGCAGGGTGCGATCTTCAATGCCCATTCAATCCGGGGATCGCTACCACAACCAGGAAGGTGTGTGCGTGGTTCGTTCAATGGAATGGCGCTGGACCTCATCTGGGGCTGCCGGTGCGCAGATCGTGTCTTAGGGCTTATTCAACCCCAGAAAACGTTACTTTGAGATGGTGTATCTACTGTCCATCGGGAAAGAGTGATTTTGTCCATGAGTTACATAATTTTTCATTTCTGGTTTGAATTATCGACAATTTCTATTAATCGTTTGTTATTCAGTTTTGGCGGTAGAAAACGGGCATGCGTGCGTTCTAGCATA